GATGGCAATGTCTAGACCTTGCTGAAAGAGAGCGTCTAGCACCTCGCCTTGCCACATGCCGAAATGACCAATACCGTCAAATATCTCAACTACAAATCTCGCATTTGACATTATGCTTCTTATCGAAATGGGTGAGGAGGTTGATGCTTCAACTTTCATCGAAGTTGGTACTTCCGTCGTCATTATGACACCAAACAAAAGTATTCAGTAGCAAACAATATGATAAAGCCTAGGACGAACTGTTGTCTCTGATACCTGTTGGGAAAATCGGGTATTTCCCACTAAAAAATAACTATAAATAGTACCCTAAGAACAATACAATACACAGCCTACAAACCCGACAGATAGCTACTGAATACTAACAATTACAGAAATATACCAGAATGTAAAATTACTAAAGTAGGAATAAAAAGAAAGAACACACCAGGATTTAGCGAGGTTCGGCAAATTGCCTACGTCCTCGGGACACCACCGTAGTAGACCACTTCACTAATCTCAAAGAACAATTACAACTTTAGGGTACTTTTGACCCACTACTAGGATATCATTGTTAAAGGACCTCCTTAAAACTGAGTAAGAAGATAGGATTTTTGGATACTAAACAAAGGAGAGGGAAGAGCTTATTTATAGAAGCCAAAAGTCCAAGCCCCCTTCATACAAAAATAATGTGGGACTTCCCACAAACAAGCTAAAACACAATAAATACTGGCTAAGCAGAGTTGGCATAATGTAATGAACCCGGAGTCTCTTATGGTAAGAATTTTTAAGGCGAAGTGTTTTCCTCATGGCTCCTTTTAGAAGTCAGTGTTGGAAATAACCCATCCTTTACATGGCGAAGCTTGTTATGGGGAAGAGATTTACTGAGACATGGATTACGGTGGCGGGTGGGCTCTGTTAAGAAATATTGAAAAAAATAGAAACTTTACTAACCCTTAATCCTTACTCATGATAAATATCCTTTTGTGAGTGTAATTATTTTAACTAAAAATGTTATAAGTTAAAAATGAAAGGTAAAAATCCTGACTCGTGTACTTTTAAAGAGTATTTATCAAGACTACCCGAGAATATTAGGATTTTTGATGATCTTTGGTTGCCAAGGCCAACGACGTTTATGCCCACCACTAAGTTAATCAGCAGTGGAATCGTGCTCTCATAAATAGTATTTTTAGGCTCATGGACTGTGAGGCTAGTTATTGTATTCCTCTGAGTTGTGGTGCTAGTGATGATACTTGGGTTTCGCACTTTGATGCTAAGGGCATTTACTCGGTTCGTTCGGGATATCGGTTGGCTATGGAACTCAAAGAAGCTCAAGGAGGGTCGGCGGTAATTGCTGTTCGTGATTGGTGGATCAAGCTTTGGAGGCTTAACATCCGAAATAAGAGTAAAAACTTTGTCTGGAGAGCTTTTAATGACATTTTGTCATGCCTTGCGAGTTTAGTTCATCGTGGTGTTTCATGTATTCCAACGTGCAGGTGCTGTGGTGAAGAAAGCGAAACAATCTAGCATGCATTATGGACGTGCAGATATGCCCGGCAAGTTTAGGATTCTTGTGCCCTTTGGCCGAAGCTGAAACTTACGAGGGTGGGTTGTTTTAGTGGTTTGTGTATTACTTGGAGCCTGTCAGATTTAAGACATAATTTGGAAATCTTTTGTGTTATTGCTTGGGCAATTTGGTGGTCGAATAATATATTAAATAGATCGGTGGCGGATTCCTTGGAGTTGATAGGTCGTATGTTGGGCGAGTTTCAGAGATGTTGGAGTCCAACAAAGATGGAGCGAGGCGGGTGCAAGATGGGAGCGAAGTTCGTTGGTGTCCTCCTCCAGAAAGTTTCCTCAAAATAAACACGGTGATTTCATTAGAATTGGAGCTGTAATACGGGATGCTAATGCTATGAATCTACCTTGCTGCGCTAAGAGGATTAACCGACTTTCCTTGCAGAATGTGTAGCTTCGCGTGAAGGATTGGCGTTTGCTCACCATTGTGGTTTATGGTCCTGTTAATTTTACCGATTTGAGTTTAAAATTTGAGTTTTGTTACAGTAAAAAACTTTTAGATACAGTCGCATCTAATTTTTATATTACAATAAAAAATTCTCGCATAAAGTTAAATCTCAACTCGAATAAATGAACTAAATCGGCCCAATATATACATTTTGCTGAGCCAAGCTGTCAACTCCAATGTTTCGCTAGGTGAGGAAGGTGTGATTATCAGTGACATTCTTGTGTCCTTGTCCAGTGTTCGTAATTGGAAATGCTCTTATGTGGGTAGAAAAGGGAATGTTGTTGCTCATATGCTTGCTAGTTTTGCTTTCCAGTCTGAAGTTTGTTCTTGGATGTGATTACATACCTCGTTTTGTAACCCCTTTTGCTACTGCTGATTTGGTTTAATAATATTATGCCATTTTCCATCCCAAATCAAAAATGCTAATGGAATGTTATTGAAAGATAATAATTACTTTGTTTAATTGAAATTTGAAACTTTGAAATAATATCTGGAACAGTAACTACTTTGTTTGATTAGAATGAAATTAACAACAAAAATACCTTGTCTTTAATTTAAACTATAAATAGGATTGTATTGATGATATTTTATTGAAGTAAAATAATTATTTTATTATCTTTTTAATTATTTAATCAGAAAATTAGATTACTATTTCAAGTTGTTTAAATTTGAATAGTCATGTTAAATATTTTAATAATTATGAAAATAATTTTTTAATTTAACAATTAATAATCATTAACAGATTAAAAAATTATAACTTATCAAGTTATTTAAAATAGTTAGAATATTTAACTAATTTTTCTAGTTATTTAAAAAATTATTCTTTGAATCTAAGAAACATCGAAAGTAATTATTTAGTTATTTAATTAAAATAATGAAGTAAAACAGTCGAAAAGATCAAATTACATATTTGAATATATATATATATATATATATTGTTAAATGATAGTTATTTAGTTATTGAGCTATCCCATAAGAGAACTTTTACTATTAATAATTGTCTTCTCTTTTCTTTTGTTAATTGAAGAAATAATTGAAAAATAAAACAACAACTACAAAAATGAGTAATAACCCCTATAGAGATTGGTACGATTTAATTCAACATTTATTCATTCAGATTTGATTGTGTTGTAGCTCTATGATTCGGATTAGGTTTATCGTTGGATGAACTACGTTGTTGATATTGACCCTAAAAGAAACTGTAGATACGGCTAATCTGTGAACAACAAACCATCACACTATAAAAATTGGATATATTCTATATATAATCATTGGAACCTCCTAAAAAGATATACTAAATTCATCGAGTTGTTCCAAATAATCAAAACGGCCGGTTATTAATGGAATTCCTTGTCGGCTCTCTATAAAATACTCATTTGGATGGGTCCTAAGTATCTTATTTGATTATTTAATTTGATTAAAATAAGTATTTAAATACTTATTATCACTCTTAAAAAGATCTACTAAATTCATTGTGTTGTTCCAAATAATCAAAACAGCTAATTATTAATGAAATTCCTTGTCGACTCTGTAAAATGCTCATTTGGACAGGGTCCTAAGTATCTTATTTGATTATTTAATTTGATTATTTAATTTGATTAAAATCAGTATTTAAATACTTATTATCATTATTTCAATGAAATTCATTATTCAGTTAACTTGTCATTTTATTTAACTAAATTATTTTATTTAGTTACAATAGTTATTATTTAATTATTTTATTTTATGAAAATAATATTTAATTATTATTAGGACTCGTATTTGTTTACCGTATAAAAGGGGAAATTCGGCGAAGATAATTTAGTCAGGGAATAAAAACGCCATTTTCGCCCATTTAGTTAAGAAACATCGTTTCAAAGAACGACACTACACCTTTGATTAAAAGACAAACTAAACAACGTGATGGGAAATGGTGTTGCATTCCGATTTCCATTCCTTCCTATTACCCCAACCACCGTTTTTTTCCCCAAAGATTCAAGCACTAACTCAATATCTACATTCATCAAACCAAACCATTAAGGTATCGCTCATTTCACCAATTCAAGTTTAGAATTTGAATTTTACTACAGTAAAAAACTCTAAAAAATAATCACATTTAATTTTTTTACTACAGTAAAAAATTCTCACATAAAATCACATCTCAACTCGAATTAAAAACTCAAATTAACAAACTAAATAAACTCTAAGTATCGTAAATGTACAAATCTCATTTTCTTTCCTTTCTATTTACTAAACCGCCAAAAAGCCAAGGGTTAATAGAGAGAGAGAGAGCCTGTTTTTCAAAAAAAACAAAAACAAAAAAAAACTCTGGAAATAGCAAACAGTGACAAGCAACTAACTCCGAATTTTGGATGCGGCGAGGCGAACTAAATCATTTTTTAGTTTTTTTGAAAAATAAATCATTTTTTGGTTTTTTAGAAAAATAAATCATTTTTTGGTTTTTTTGGAAAAATAAATCATTTTTCAGTTTTTTTGGAAAAATAAATCATTTTTCAGTTTTTTGGAAAAATAAATCATTTTTTGGTTTTAGGAAAAATAAATCATTTTTTGGTTTTTAGGAAAAATAAATCATTTTTTGGTTTTTTAGAAAAAAAATCATTTTTTGGAAAATCCAAACTAAACTGACTTCTAATTGTTTGGTTTGAAAGGTTTGGTAAGTTTGTGAATAATTAACAGAACAAGGAACACAGACAAAAAAACAAAAAAAAAAACAAAAAAAGAAACAAAAAAAACAAAAAAAAAAACAGAAAAAAAAAAAAAGAAAAAAAAACAAAACAAGAAAAGACAAAAAACAAAAAAAAAAAAAATCACCTTTGTTGAAGACTAGAAGGGAAGACGAATGAATTTTCAAGTGCACTAAAAAAAAAAAAACAACAACAAAACAAAACAAAACAAAAAAAAACATCATCTTTGTTGAAGAATTGAAGGGAAGACGATAAACAATGTATTTTCAAGTGCAAGAAAAAGATACAAAAAAAAAAAAAAAAAACCCCTCGGAGAGGGCCACAATATAGCTTGGGAACTGAAAATCCCTTATATAACCCTTTCAGGCTCGATGAATTTATCTCTTTCGAATGCCAATTCTTCACAAGTGAAGAGAAAGGCGTAGCAGACGACTGGAGCTAACATTTTTCAAACGGGAAACACGCATTAATTTTAGCTATGAACATATGAAGAATTGAAAAACTACTGCACAGAACAGCAGCCAAAAAGCATAGCGAGTTCCTCAAGCCTCAAAGTAGTGCAGAGGATGAAGCTAACATTCCATTAAAAGCTAAACCTATACCTCAGATAGCATACAATGTCGGTCTAAATGCCAAAAACAGTTGGCGTAAAAATGGCCTCTGTGCAAATAAAAATAGTACCAAAAATCCTCCCAACTAGCAGATTCATTGTTCCATAACAGCAAAAACACTCGGGAATTCCCACGGGGAAGCCATTGCGTAGGACTGCTTTACGATAGCCAACTGACAGAAACCTAATTACTAGAACGTAACTTTTAACTTATGAAGAGAGATATTCAGCGAATAACTACTACATCAAGCACTTTTATTTTATCTCAAAGAAAGAACAATGTAATACTAAAAAGCATGTTTGCAGGTTAGCAAGCTGTCAAGAAGGTTGTAAAGGTTAAAAGGAAACTATAGGTGCTGAAATTTCCCCAACAGAACAAACCCAGTAATTGAGGAAAATTACCTGTTTAAAACCATTATGCATTCAACGTGTACATTCAAGTAAAAGAATAAAAAGTAATCCCCCGTCTGCTCAAACTCATCACCATGAATTTTGATGCAATTCCTCCCAGCAAAATCTGAGTATCACTTGACTTTAGCATTACCTAACCAAGACAAGTATTTGGGATGGGAGGGAAAACCCCCCCCCAAAAAAAAAAAAAGGAAAGGAAAAAAAAAAGAAAAAAACAAAGATGGTGGAAGGAGTAAGGCACAACATCTATAATATATTGGCATAAGTTACTAATGTCTATTTGAATATACGACAACCAACACTCCCAAAAAACTTTAAGACCTGGACATAACCTTAATTGCATTAATACACTCCATATGCAGAACTATCAAATCTGTGACTGCATACCTTCATTTACATCACACAAAAAAACCAACTGCGCCAAAATGAATCTCACAAAGCTCCAAAGACATCACCATGCAAAGAGCCCTGCATGTGTTTCGGACATAACAGGCCCACCATTCCATCAATTGAAAATAAAAGTGGACCTAAGATCAACCATATCAAAGAAAGGCCAAGAGGGGATGCTTCAAATATTCACCTAAAACAAAGGGTATAAAAGGAAAAGAAAAAAGCAAAGAGGAAATGTAGATATTAGACACAACACACTTGGTGAATGGATTAATAACAAAACCTAGATTGAGGTTCACCTTCTTAAAACATGAAGTACTCTTATCTCCAAGTTTTAGAAAGCATTTATGCACCAACTTTCCTAGATCATTCTTTTTGCATCAAGCACTTAATCCTTTCCTAAAGGTCATAACTTAACAATATAATAATAATGATAATATAAGAACCAAGAAAAAATAAGTTTCTATCCAAATAATAAAATTTAGCATCCTTTGAATCACACTTCAATTTACTTGTCACAACGACAAAGGTAATGGTCCAACATACATAAATCAGAAAAAGAAGCTCACTACAACCAATGCATGAGTTGATTGCAGATGAAAGCAGAACACCCTTGAAATAATTAATCCAGTATGTTCCAAAAGGACCTGCAAAAGATAAAACAAACACACAGCAAAATTCATGAAGAGCCACGCACCAATAGAAAAATTAAGCAGTCTTCCCAGAACACGGCCATTCTAGCAAGTTAGATTAAGTTCATATATAAGAATCTCAAAGTCTTGATTGGAGTTTATCAGCAGAATCGCTCTAGTCAGCATTGTTTGGAGCGAAAAATGTTGAATTCAAACAGCCCTGCTGCCATCCATAATCATATTCTCTGCGCTGTTGTCAGCTGAAATATCTGGATCATTATTCACATGCCTCTGCCATTTTGATCCTCCAGTTCTGAAAAAAAAAATAAAAAAATAAAAAAAAAGAAGAAAAGAAAGGTGAGATGTTGTCATTAATAACCCAGAGAATCAATTCTCCATTCCCTTATTCAGGGTGGGAAAGGGAGGGGAGCAATGCTTCATTACCAGCTCCACCAATCTCTAAATGCTCAGTGATAGGTGCTTCATGTTTACTTGGCCTCCCTGCGTCAGACGAAATTCTATTAGTTTTACCAAAGCACCATTTCTTTGGGTTTGGTTCGCTAATTTGAATTTTATTGATTCGAACTTTTTAATTCGAACAGAAAAAATTCAAACTGTGTGGTTTAAATTGTAGTTTGAATTGATATTTGGATGTGCAGTTAAAGTTTTAATTTGAATATGGAATAAAATTCAAATTCATGTTTGGTAGGTGTGAAAAGCAGAGAGAGTGGACACATTTTTACTGTTCAAGATTAGTTTGAACAGTTGAACTTGAGGGGAGAGCTAAACTCTAAATTGGACTGTTTAACTCAGTTCGAACAGGAATATAATTCAAACTACGGCCTCGTTCATTTCACTGATTTGAATTTTCAGTTTTAGATTTCTATAGTAAAAAACTCTTAGAAAATGTCACATCTAACTTTTTCTACTACAGTGAAAAGCTCTCAGAAAATGTCACATCTCAGCTCGAATTGAAAACTCGAATCCGCAAAGTGAACGAGGCCTACATGTTTACCAAACATCAGTTCAAACTGTGCTCACTGTTTAAACTGAGTTGAAATGAACTAAACCAGTGAAACAAATAGGGGCATATTTTACACATGTATGTCTAAATTTTGAACAACTTCAATTGTTAATATTTTCTCCCAAGTTCTTCAACATATTTTTCATCATATTTGAAACAGACATATGAACATTCATTCTAATCACATATTAGTATTATATTACTCAACTTGAATCAGGTTCCACCTTGTTTTCCCCACGAGTATTACCTTCAGAATCTGACTTAGACCGCCTTATGTTTTTTGACTCAGACTCATCCGAACTACTTTGAGATCCGCTACTTCCTCTGCGAAGCTTCTCTTCAAGCAAACTTGACCTAGATCTTTTTCTCCTACCACTCTTTGATTTCTTGTATCTTGTTTCATTTAATTTATCTTTAAAGTTGTTCTTGCCATCAGGAGACTTAGACCCAGAACGCCTGCTATGTTTCATTTTGGTTTCCCCAGAACTTCTCGAGGATGATCTACTCCTTCTGTGATGCTTAGCCTCAACAGATACTGATCTGGACCGCCTTCTACCACGATGCTTTGGTCTTTTATCCCTACCATCATCCACTTTCTCCTTCAATTTATGATTGCTTTCAACAGATCTTGACCTGGAACGCCTCTTAGCATGATGTTTTGATTTTTCATTTCTACCTCCTTCCACGCTATCATCAAAGTGAAACTTATCTTCCAAAGACTCTGACCTTGATCTTGATCTTGACCGCCTGACATCATGTTTTGAATCCTCATTTCTTGTTTCATTCATTTTCCCATCTGAGAGACGCTTACTTTCCAAAGATGTCGACCTGGAACGCCTTCTACCACGATGCTTTGACTTGTCATCTCTGTTAGCATCCTTCTCAACAGACCGATGCTTACCTTCCACAGATTTTGACCTGGACCGCCTTCTATGTTTAGATTTAGTTTCATTTGTACTTCTTGCGAATGACATTCTATGATGCTTATCTTCTGCAGAGACTGACCTGGAGCGCCTTCTGTCACGGTGCTTTGATCTTTCATGGCGGGTTTCATCTCTTGTGCCATTTGAGTGATACTTACCATCTGGAGATATCGACCTTGAACGTTTTCTGTGATTTAGCTTGCGTTCATCATCGATTCTTGGAGATGACCTATTTCCTCTACTGTAGCTCGGCGATCTTGAACCAGCACGAGTTGCTCTGCGTGGAGTACTTTCTCGATGACGTTTTGGTGATACAGAATCAACTCTATATGACTTCCGTCTTCCAGGACTAGCACTCCTACTCCTATGTTTTCTTGAAGAAGACACATGATGATCGCGTGATCTACCTGAATCCCTTCGTCTATATCGGTCACCACCATCCCTAATCTCTCTAAATGACCGTCGCTCATTGTCATAGCTAGAATAATGGCGAGACCTTATCGGTGACCTAGATCGACGATCTCTAGCTTGGCGGGAAGGAGGAGAGTAAGAAGGGGATCTCCGCCTTCTATGATAATTGATTGGTGATCTTGACTTGGATCTTGACTTCTTGCGAGAAGGTGAAGGCGACCTGTAAAATTAGACAAGAATATCTCAAACTTACCCAAAAAAAAAGTGTACAAAAGATAACCTCAGCACCCTGATACATTCTCTAGAAGAAAAATGTTAATATATTCTCTAGAAAATACACACACAAGTACTAGTGCAAAAACAATTGACTAGATATTTACGAGAGAGAGAGAAAGATAACCTCAGCACCCTAATACATTCTCTAGAAGAAAAATGTTAATATATTCTCTAGAAAATACACACACAAGTACTAGTGCAAAAACAATTGACTAGATATTTACGAGAGAGAGAGATAACCTCAGCACCCTGATACATTCTCTTGAAGAAAAATGTTAATATATTCTCTGGAAAATACACACACAAGTACTAGTGCAAAAACAATTGACTAGATATTTATGAGAGAGAGAGAGAGAGAGAGAGAGAGAGGCGTCTAATCATGAAACTAAAATGAGTATTTTAGTGCACAAAATTTTCAGTTTTTCCTCCCTTAAGTGTCAAAACATTTGAATAATTCCAGCTTTATAAAGGGCAGCAAGGGCATGTTCATTTTCTTGCAGCAAAAAGAAGACGAGAAAATATACGTCCTAGATAAGGCTCCTAGAAGGCCTTAGACAGGATCTTCTTCTCAATGAAATTTCCCTTTAAGTTTAAATTCCCCTCTTTACCGAATTAATGACAGCCCCAAATCCCCAAAGCAAGGTTTTTTTTTTTTTTTTTTCCTTTTTTTGAAAAGAAACAATCCGAATAGCAAGGTAATGATAACATGTGGCATCCATCTAAACAACATCACATCAAGTTCAAATGCCCCATGCCAACTCTAGGGCTTTTTCATTCATTAGGCAATCGAGACAATGAAAAACTACCATGACTTGTCCTCCATCTTTATTTTATTTTATTTTTGTTTAGCTGTATTGCATACTCTTTGTGAAGCTTTCTTCCATACCTATAACTGAGTGTGTGTGTGTGCGCGTGCGCGCGCGCGTGTGTGTGTGTGTGTGTGTGTGTGTGAGAGAGAGAGAGAGAGAGAACAAAATATAGTAATAATCTTATTACAGAAATCAGCAAAGAGACATACCTAGATTTTGGCTTTGCTTCCTTTTCTTCCTTCTCTTCCTTTTCTTCACTCACAAGTCCATCAGCCTTCAACTTCTTACTTATTTCTGCAGCTCTTGCGGCAGCCAATTCAGTGGCAGACTTCATGGTTGCAGCTCGGCTTGCTGCTTGTTGTGTCATCATAGTTTGCTGCATAAGCAAAGCCTGTTGGAATTGCATTTGTTGCATGGCAACAGCCTGCTGCATCATCATGGGTAAAGATGAAGAAGCCAGTTGTGAATTTAGTATAGCTGGTTTTTGAGGTAGTGATTTAGCCATTTCAACGTTCATGGGGCGACCCCCAACATCCATATTATTCAATGCTAATGCAGCTGTTGCTTCTTCAGGTTTAGAGTACTCTATGTATGCAAAATGCTTTGAATCAGTGATCGTACATTCAACAACTGTTCCACAGAAGCTAAAAAGTTGTTTCAGTTGTTCGACAGTGAGAAGTGGGCTAAGATTGCTAACTTGAAGTGTTTTCTTCAATGCATCATCCTTTCCAGCTTTGTCAGGTGAAGCTGATTAGAAAAGTAACCAAAAAATAATAATAAATTGAACGACAATGCTTCACATAATCGAAAGAACATCAGCCCAACTTATGGGTAAAAAAGCAAAAGAATGGGATGGGGAAGAAACTAGCAACTTGGAACTATAAAGATCATTAAGTAAAGTGACAGAATGATACCAGATGAGTCTTTGCCCGACTTAGCTTGGGCTTGCACCTGCGCAGCATGGGCTTGAAGGGCTTGTGCAGCAACAATTGCCTGAGCAGCAGCCATTGCAGCAGCAGAAGGTGCCATTGGCACTTGACTTACAGTACCCATGCTGGTTGTTGCAGCTAATGCTGTCATTAGAAGGTTATGAGGAGGATGATTCAACTTGCAATCAGTTTTGGCACAGCGACCATTAAGATATTCTCGACAAACTTCGCCAAGAGATGCTCCAATTCCGGGCAAAATGGCCCCACCTGAAGCACCAGGAATGATGCCAGGAATCATTCCCAACAGTCCTGGAAATGCCCCTGAAACAGACCCTGAGTAATTTGGCATGTTAGGCATGGTTTGGTTAACTAGATTCGGAAATGTAGATGTGGGAGCCAAACCCAATAGTCCTCCGCTAGTAGGAGTAGTTGCACCTGATTGACAACAAAACAATTTTGTCAAACTAGTCATCCTAGAGATGATATCTGATGCGCATATAGTTAGTGCTCCAATCACGAAAGAAACCGTAAAGCAATCCTTTCACAAAGAAATAAGCGAAAATAATCCCCTCACCCAAAATTACCATCTGCCTGCACTGAAGAAACACTTGGAATGAACTCACCAGCTATGATTTTCCAATTATATTCAACATTCCCCATATAATACTTACAAGTTACAACAAAGAAACAAAAGAAACCAAAATCATTAGCATTTTCAAGATTGTTCTCATAGAAAACAGCTCACATGATACTTGATAGATCATCAAGATTAATGCCAGGGATCCCAACCTTTATCCACAGAGTGAGTTTCCATCCTTCTAGTAGGTGTTTAAAAAAATATCTTCCAATTTAATATGGAAAAAAATATGGGTTATAATTGAAAATTTGGGATAAAAGTTGAGAGCACTAAAACAACTCTTTATAATTGAAAATTTGGGATAAAGTTGAGATATCTAACACAACTCTTTCAGTACACAAGCAAGCAACAAATAAAGTTAACCACCGCTCAAAAACAAATTTACAACGAAAACATGAAAGCTCTAAGAAGTATACCTGCACTGAAGAACACTGGGAATGGGCTGCCCATGATTGGTTTGCCATTACACTCAACGTTGACCATATAATTCCCTCTCTTCGGCACCACATAAGTAACCGTATAAGTCCCATCACCCATATCTTTCACCACCCCTTCCTGCTCCGTCCCTCCCACTCCCACCCCGGGAGACACCTTCACCTTGATCTGGGCGCCCCCATTCGGGCACTTCCTGCCGTCGGCGTCCTTCGCAGTCACCACAAACGACGACGGCGCGCAGGCCGTCCCGCCCGCGATCCCGGCCCCGGCCGCCATGCACTTCGCGGGGTCCGCCGGGCCAATAGGCTTCCTCGACAGGTCCTCCTCGGCCTCCTCGTCGCTCTCGCTGTCTGACGAAGCCGCCGCGCCGCCCTTCTCGCGGCTCTTTTCCACGTCCTTGAATGTGGCTTCGAAAGCCGCTTTCGCCGCCGCCGCTTTCTCCGCCTCGCTCTTCAGCTTCGCCTCCTCGGCTTGCTTCACCCATATCGGCTTCGCCAAGGCTGAACTCCGATCGGCCATTGGAAACGAAAAACCCTAGTTCCCAACTCAATAAAAATCGCAAGCCCTAGATACTTAAAGTAGTTCGATGAATCAACGTTCCTTCGATGAATCAAAAAGGCCTCATTATCAGCACGGCGCTTCAAATCAACGCGATTCCAAACCCTAGAATCGACGAAAACGAAGAAGAAGAAACCTAAGCTAAAGCCTAAAAATATGGAAAGCCAGATTTTCCCCTTTTTTTTCTTTTTAGATTAGATTGAGATTTATTTCGTCGATAACAAATAAAATAAAATAAAAAGGGTGTGACTACAGTACGGACCATACGAATACGCATGGACAATTTTTTTTTTTAAACGGTGGGATTAGAGTGGTTCATATCACGGTTTCATGGAAACAAAAATAGACACCAGTACATTTGATAACAAAATCTAATAAGGAAAAAGGCTGAGGACCGGCTTAATAGTGTTGTTGATTTGAAAAATATTATTTTTAGTTGTATTAAAAAATATATATATTATAAAAAATAATTGAGTATTTAATAAATTATAATTATGCGTAATAACGTTTAATAAATTGTGAGTTTAAATTGTTTTAGATAGTTAAAATTACCGTAATTAATAATTTTAAATTAATATATAAAGTAATTAATAATTATTTAATAAATAAAAATTAATATATTAATAATATAATAATAATGAATTATCATTAAT